GCCCTTCCTCTGCCCCCTGCAGGGCCCTCCCCACGTGCACTGGTGTTCAGCAGGCGCTGTGCTGGCGGCTGAAGGGAGACTCACATGAGACAGAACCTCGGAGTAACTGTCCCGTCTGGTGATGGCCCCGACTCTCTCCGCCCTGGCCATGCCCCGGCCCCGAGCGCCCTTTCTCCCCGCTTTCTACTCAGCTGACACCTGCTCACCTGAGCACAGGTGGCACCAGCCCGGAGCCCAAGCCCACCCGTGGGCTCCCACAGGGACCTGGATCCCCGTGAGCTCCCCCTGTGCGCTCTGCACTGTAACGGCGGGCACGTCCCCCGGTGGAGGGGGCTGTCCTGCTCGCTCACTACCTGGCCCTCAGCACCCAGTTCCGGGCCTGACACAGGGACCATGCTCAGTAGGTACTTGTTGGATGGAGGATGGATGGATGGATGGACGGACAGACGGACGGACGGTGGAACAGCGAAGGGGCGGAGAGCGCAGGGAGGCCAGGGCTGGAGCCAGGGGCCGCGCAGACCTTGTTGTAGAGGGCGCAGATGTGCAGCGCCGTGTTCCCCGAGGCGTTCTGGGCTCCGGGCTCAGCCCCGTAGAAGAGCAGGTGCTCCAGGTGCTGAGAGTGACCCCGCTGGCAGGCCTGGGGGGACAGGGGCCGCGGGGGCGGGTCAGACCTTCCGCTTGGCTGGGCGCCCTTCAGCCCCTGTTCCCTCTTGGCGACCCCGGGCGTCACCTCACCTGTCATTCCGAGGCCCAGGCGTCCGGCCTGGCCCCTCAGAAGCCCCAGAAGCCGTCCCCGCCCATGTTCCCTCGGGGTTCCGGTGTCGACACCCCCATTGTTTCCTCTTTGGGGGTCAGGTGCCCTCACCTCCACCCTCCGTGAGGCCCCCAGCATCTGATCCCCAGACCCTCGGACCAGGGTCCCTGATCCGTGCCCCCCTGTGGGCCCAGGCACCCTGCCCCGTGCCCAGCGCGCCCCCCCAGGCGGGAGCACCTGGTGGATCTCTTGCCAGCCGTTCTCATCAGCCACTCCCAGCTGGGCCCGGTTGTACAGCAGCAGCTCGCAGCAGCGGGGGTCGCCCCCCACCATAGCCGTGTGGAACAGAGGGGTCAGCCCCCGGCGGTCCTTGTAGTTGGGGGAGCCCCCGAGGTCCAGGAGTGCCTAGGAAGGGAGACAAGACAGACAACAGTCTCGGGAGGACTGGCTCGTCCTGAAGAGTCCGGTGGCCTCCACTGGCCAAGGCCAAGCTCAGTTCTGATGCCCTTGTGCGACCTTGAGCCTGGCCCTTGCTCTCTCTGAGCCTCTCCCATCCCCTGTGAACCATGAGAGGACTGGGAGGAGGCCTGCAGACCAACCTTCCCCCTAGGCCGGTGGTCGGCAAACCGCGGCTCGCGAGCCACATGTGGCTCTTTGGCCCCTTGAGTGTGGCTCTTCCACAAAATACCGACTTCTGCACATGGGCCATGAAGTTTCAATCGCACTGTACATGCGCGCCCGCACGTGGTATTTTGTGGAAGAGGCACACTCAAGGGGCCAAAGAGCCGCATGTGGCTTTCGAGCTGCAGTTTGCTGACCACTGCACTAGGCGGTTAGGGAGAGACGGAGGACTCTCAGTTTGGCCGGAGTTCCAACCAGCCCCAAAAAAACAAGGCCTGATTCTCACTATCTTTGAGATAAAAGCAATTGCTTAGGAAGTGTGCCTGCTATGTTTAGGACAGAGCCATTTTTTTTTTCCAGCTGCTTCATGGGACCTTTTGATGTTCAGATGCCTGTTATGCTGATCTATTCTTTATTTTTTATTTTTT